GAATCTGACGTGACATGTTCGTACGAACCCTTTGTGCGAACAAAAGTAAGAGAAATTTAGGATAAGAATACGAACATGTTCTTGCATGAGGCCCATTGACCCTAAAACACATTTCTTCTATTTAGAACAATATGACTGCATCAAATAAAATATACAGCATGATAAATACTGTTGCAACATTTTGCACTAAATAAAAATGAACAAGATTTTCTTTCAACTTGCATAACTTTAACATGGAGCTGAGAATCTTAAATGCAAACTAACACATTCAAAGAACTATCAATGGGAACATACCAGTTTCAATACTAGTATGGTATCAAGGCATTTTGTATCAGTAAAAATACTTACAAAAACGCTGGTATCAGACCCGGTACCAATACCAGTAGTAGGGCACCCATATTCTACAGCCGTTTATCGCTTCTGTTCCAACATTTTTGAGATGTGTTGCTGCCATAAAATATTGATTTACTTTAATCTTCAAAAAAATGTTACTACTTCTCAGGTTGAACATTTTATTTATGTTTATTATATTCTATCATGAAGCAAATATGTGCTCATGAGATTTACAGATCATTGTATGTTGTTTTTATTTACATTTTACACAACTTTTTGGGGGAATTGGAGCTGTGCACCGCAAGTGTTACAGCTAGCTGCTGCTGCTATTGGTGGTTGCAAATAACCATAAAGTTGTTCATTTAATGAAAAACTAATAGTAATGCAGCACAAAACTTCTATAAATTATTGAGAGATTGGAGTTGTTCAAAGATGACTGCAATCCACTTTGGTCTTTTGTGCAGCCAGATTTAAAATCAAAGAGCAATCTGCAGAAGGTGAGCTGTTTAGAGTTTAGAACCTTTTCACTGAGCCCTGCTTCAAAGGATCTTAAATATCTCTTTAAGTGTCTCATTTACTATTAAACACAGCATCCCCTGATGATTGTAAAGAAAGAAACCGGCACCTTAACATCARTCTGGCACTTTATTATTCCCACCATTGCATCAGTGCATAACACATCAGTCTCTGAAGAGAAAATATCTTTGGTAACTGTTAGAACTTTTCATGAAAAAAGCTGAATAAAGTCACCATGTTCCGCATTGCCTGTACTCCCATTTATGAGTTGCTTCATTATTCATAACTGGGAATCAGAAAATGAAGGCTCATTATATACTTTTCAAGCGCTAAAACTCATTAGTTACTGCTAAAAACCTCAACATAGCACTGGATGCTAAAATGTCCCCTAACCTCGAACCAGCACTGATAATAAGCACACACACACACACACACGCACACCCACACGCACACACACAC